TAAAAAATGGTTGAAAACACTCTTTTCCAACCACGACAAGAACCAATTCATAAACGTTCAACAACTACTAGTAGAACATTCAATGTTCAAGGTGATAATAATTTATTAATTCAAAATCCAAATGTTTTACCTGAAGATGAAGAACAAGTTTATGAAGAATTAACTATATTTGATACACCACCTAAATCTAATTTATTATTAAAACAACAACATCAATTTGATGATAATATTTTATATAATAGAAGTAATACATTTCTAAATGAAGATATAACTGATATTAATGAAAATTTAAATTTAAATAGTAAACAATTTAATTTATTTTATAAAAATAATATTTTATATATTTTATTAACATATTATTTATTTATTTGTGTTAAATTTCATAATAATACATTAATATATCCAAATTCAATTTCTAATTTTTATTTATTTTTTAAAGATCAAATATTAACACCTATTTACAATTATGGAATTCCTAAAGATTTCAATATAATTATTTTATTAAGTATTTCAAATATTATTAATTTATTAAATGTATTTAATTATAATTTATATTTAAATTGGTTATTAAATTTATCAAGTATTTTAATTTTACATTTTACTAATTTATTTCCAATTACGGAATTTTATGAACATTATATTTCTTTATTTACAGTTACTATTTTATTAAATAATTTTATTAAAGTTAAGGAATTTAATCATTATAATTTATTTAGTATTTTATCAATTAGTATTTTATTTAAATATTATCAATTAAATGATTTTTCTTTATTAGGAAATTTAAATATTATTTATAATTTATTAATTTGTAATTTTGTATTTTTAAATAATATTAAATTATCAATCAATAGATTAGCATTTTTAAATACATTAAATTTATTAAATATGAATTTTAATGAAATTAATATTTTATCTATTTGTATATTTTTATTAGGTTACTATATATGGACAATATCAAATTTACAATATAAATATTTTAGAAATTATATTTCTTTTAATAATACTGCTACTACTAATATTAAATCATTTCCATATTTTTTATTTAATTCTACAAAAACACCTAGATTTATATCTTCCAAAGATGGAAATTATATTTTAGCTGATAGTGGATGGTTAACATGTAGAAATATTGATTTATTTGGTGAATTATTAATTATATTTTCTATTTTTATTTTAAATATTAATATTATTTCGTTTATTATATTTATTTGTAATGTTATTGATATTATTAATTTGGAAAATGAAAGAAATAATTTAAATATGAATAATAGTGATTATATTAAATATTGTAATTTAGTTCCTTTTAGATTGGTACCTTTTATTTATTAGAAATAAAATTGTATTTGTAATTTATATTATATTAGATTTCATGATTAGTTTATCAAATATGGTTTATCAACTAATTTTATGTGCTCGTCTCGTGGTGTAATGGTAGCATAGTGGACTTTGAATCCATTGACGGAGGTTCGATTCCTCCCGAGACGGTAACGTGGCGAGCCAT